AAAAAAAAAAAAAAGAGATGGGATCTTGCTGTGTTGCCCAGACTGGTCTCAAACTCTTGCCTCAAACAGTGCTCCTGCCTCAGCCTCCCAAATAGCTGGGATTACAGGTGCATGCCACCAGTCTTGTCCTGTTTTTGTTTCTAAGTACAACCAAATTGCCTACTCAACCAAGTTGAGTACGGATATGGAGTTAATAAATAGAGTTGTTACACCTAATGTTCCTCTCTTTTCCTTTATTAATGCATCAAGTAGCCACTGAAAAAGAATGTTAATTTTTTAAACAAGGTTATATTATTTTAGTAATTGTAAAAAAAAAAAAAAATAGTACACATTTTAATACCTTTAAGTTACTACAGCATTGGTATAATAGTATCAGACAATATTAAATTGTGGTCCTCATTTTGCTGGTGTTCATCAAGTCCATTTTCTTTTTGAACATTAGTTTTCTAATCTGTAAAAGTTGGGGTTAAACTAAATAGTCTAAGCACAATAGCTTTTAAATTATTTAAATCACAACCCATATTAACGAATACATTTTATACTGTGGCCCGGCATACATTCTTCATACATCTATATCTAGTTATGAACCAACCCTTTCTATGTGACATTCTCTAATATCTTCTTTTCTGTAATTTAATTAGGGTCAAATTTTGATAGCACTTTTTTTGATGACACATTTTTTTTTAAATGCACAATTCGGTGGCTTTTAGTACACTCACAATGCATGCAACTATTGCCATGATCCAATGCCAGAACGTTTTAATCACCCCAAAAGAAACCCCAAACCCATTAAGCAGTCACTCCCCTTTCCCTCCTACCTTCCAGTCCCTGGGCATGGTAGCATGCACCTGTAGTCCCAGCTACTCAGGTGGCTGAGGCAGGAGAATCACTTGAACCCAGGAGGCAGAGGTTGCAGTTCGCACCACTAGACTCCAGCCTGGGTGACAGAGCCAGACTCTGTCTCAAAAAAAAAAATCCTAGATTCCTGGCTGGGCGCGGTGGCTTGTGCCTGTAATCCTAGCACTTTGGGAGGCCGAGGCAGGCAGATCACAAAGTCAGGAGTTTCAGACCAGCCTGGCCAACATGGTGAAACCCCCATCTCTACTAAAAATACAAAAATTAGCCAGCTGTGATGGTGGGCACCTGTCCCAGCTACTCGGGAGGCTGAGGCAGGAGAATCACTTGAACCTGGGAGGTGAAGGTTGCAGTGAGCCTTGATTGCGCCACTGCACTCCAGCCCAGGTGACAGAGCAAGACTGCGTCTTGGAAAGAAAAAAAAATACTAGATTCCTTCGTTTATCTTGTTTATATACCTAGGAGTAGGATTGCTGGGTCATGTAATTTTGTTTTACTTTTTGAAGAACAGGCAGACTTCCATAACAGTTGCACTATTTTATTTTCTCATCCGCAATTTATGAGAATTCCAGTTTCTCTATATCCTCACCACTTCTTACTAGAGACAGGGGTTCTCCATGTTGGTCAGGCTGGTCTCGAACTCCCAACCTCAGGTGATCCCCCCCCACCTCGGCCTCCCAAAGTGCTGGGATTACAGGTGTGAGCCACCGCACCGGCCTGTTTTTTTTTTTAAGCCATTCTAGTCGGCATGAAGTGGCATCTAATTGTGGTTTTGATTTTCATTTCCTTAGTGACTTAGGGTGTTGAGCATTTTTTCATGTTTTTATTGGCCATTTTTATATGTTAGAAGAAATTATTTAGGTTCTTTGCCTATTTATTAATTGGACTGTTCATATTTTTGTTGTTGAATTAATAACAGTTCTTTATTTTTTTTCTTTTTTTAATATTATTACCTTTTTAGAGACAAGGTCTCACTCTTTCACCCAGGCTGGAGTGCAATTCTGTGATCATAGTTCACTGCACCCTCAAACTCCCAGGGTCAAGTGATCCTCAGCCTCCCAAAGTGCTGGAATTACTAGGTATGAGCCACCACACCTAGCCAAGAGTTACTTATTCTTGAGTAGATCTTACAAAGTCTATTTAAAGACCACTGTGTTTTTTTCTAAGAATCTTTTTTTTTTTTTTAGGCCGGGCGCGGTGGCTCAAGCCTGTAATCCCAGCACTTTGGGAGGCTGAGGCGGGTGGATCACGAGGTCAAGAGATCGAGACCATCCTGGTCAACATG